TAACACCAGGAAGGAGATCAGTAACGCTTCCTATTGGCCAAGAGGCTGCTGTACATTGCGGGGGAGCAGATCTGGTCTCCAAGAAGCACATTGCAGCTGTTGCTGCCACCAAATCAGCAGGTGCTGCATTCACTGGGAGGGTGGATATGCCGCCCCTGTGGATTCTGCTGCCTGAGGCAGCCATCTCACGTTGCCTCATGGATGGGCCAGCCCTGTGTAACACATTCACAATTGCTAACATCTAAATGTTCAATACAGTAAGGAGGCAGAGGGAAAAGTGGCAGGAAGACCCAGGAATAAAGAAATAATAGCAGGCTTCCCTATTAATGTTGGTCCAAAACCCACTTCTCAATCCGCATAACAAGTGCAAAAACAAACAAACCCACCTTCAGTTTGCATGTTCTAGAAAATATTGAGCATTGCTGTACCAGGCCTCCACAGGACTGAGCACATTTCTGCTATACATTTTGCCTCATCAGTGTTTCCATAATGGAAAAACCCCACAGGGGTAGTGCATCTGCATATAGCAGAAAAGTAAAGAGATAGTGATTTATGTCCTAATTTTTACTGGATCAATAAAATCTCATATTCTTTATCCATGATAAACTATAGGCAAGAAATTCCTGTCAATAAATGTGAAGCTACTATTGATTGGTGCATTAAAATTGAATTAAAATAGGGACTAATAAAATAATTTAGTGAGTTTTGAAGAAGAAATTCAAATTCTCCATAAGCTCAGAAAAGAGCAACTATGTCACCAATACCCTGGCTAAGTAATATAAATAATTCATTTTATGTTGAAAATGAATATATCTAGCACAATATCAGCAATCTGCTGCATCTGCTTCATATGCATAGCAAGCACAGGTTCATAATTAACCACAAAAGAGCACGACCTAACTACGTTGAAGCAACAGAAGAATTTGCTCTCCTCCACAACCAATCTCACAAACATAAAAGTTTCAGTTTCCAAGTTCTCAGTCTATTTACCTGCAGCAAAACTCAAACTACATAGTATTCTCTACGTGACAGTATACATAGCCTTTCCTGTATGGAGTTTTATCTTCTGAGCAGGAACATATCATGTATGGACAGACCCCATTAGAAATGGTATACACAATGACACTTATTTCTGGAGACCCTATAAAAGCTGCAGCCAGATTGGGTTTAGGTTCGGCTCCGCCTGGAAGTCAATGGGTCAATAGCTTGCAAAAATAAATAAACAATTCAAACAGTAAGCTGCTGTCTTGGCTCCTCCCTATGTTTTTCATTTTGCATTTATATCTCACAAGCAGTCATATTTTTTTAGTCCAGAGAGCAAGTATCCTAGCCAGCCCTTGAAAATCTGACAACTGCATCCATTCATATTTCAGAACAGTGAAACATTAGGGTTCATCTCTGAATAAACAGTTCTCTTTTATCACAACAAAGCAACAACATGAAGTACATAAAGCAATCCAAACAGTCCTCATATTTGAACTTGGGGCAAGTTAACAGAAATGTTTTCGGCCCGAAAAGGCAACTACATTGTGACTTTTCTCTAGCAATGCTCCAAAGACAAGATTTTTTTAAAATGATAGCTCCTCTTGGCACTCAAGGCTTATTTATCAGTTTACAGTGGTACCTCGGGTTAAGAACTTAATTCGTTCCAGAGGTCTGTTCTTAATCTGAAACTGTTCTTAACCTGAAGCACCACTTTAGCTAATGGGGCCTCCCGCTGCCGCCGGAGCACGATTTCTGTTCTCATCCTGAAGCAAAGTTCTTAACCCGAGGTACTATTTCTGGATTAGCGGAGTCTGTAACCTGAAGCGTCTGTAACCTGAAGCGTCTGTAACCCGAGGTACCACTGTATTATTTTATTCCTCTTATCTGCTGCTTTTCAGGGCCAAGCCCTCACAAAGCAACACAGAGAAATAAAAACAAGATATAATCATGTAGAACATGAAGCATTGAGTGGATACAGACAAACAGTTGCATGAAAGAAATGGAATCAGATCGTCTAGGCTTTTTCGCATTCCAGAAGTGAAGGATCCAGGCAAACATTAACAGGAAGAGTTGCCCAACTGCAGAGTTCACCACGACAAAAGGCCCTATCTCATTGCTGATCAATACAGCCAATTTCACTAGTGGCCGATTGTGAGCATGGTCATATATATGGGTGCAGACAGCCCTTTAGATAAAAGGGCTTCATTTTGCACAAGAGAAGATACTAAGCTGCCTTCCAAGGCACCCAATGTGAAACACTTCGCACTAATCCAGTCTGGGTCATATATAAAGTAAGGCTAAACAGATTATTTGGCTTAATTAATGTTCTACACAAAATCTGAATGGCGGGGGGGAAAGAAGAGTAAAAACTTGCAATAATTTTAAGGGAGAACTTGTTTTGAACACATCAACACTTGGTTTATTTTAATCTTTAACATCCTCTGAAATTTCATTTTGCTGCTGCTGCAAAGGATACCATCAGAAGCTGCTTCTCAGTTGCTGCCGTTGTTCCCCATTTTGATGCCCCTTGGAAAGTTGCTGTGTCATGTCAAATAGTCTTAATGAGGGATTCTGGGAGAAAATTGTTGGCTGTCATCCTTCACACCTCCCCAGAATCCCCATCAGAATAGTATTATATCGCAGTGCAGCATTATGCCAATGGCCGTTGTGCAGGGAAAATATATGAAGTCTGAGAGGACAAAAATGCCGAAAAAGCAGCGTGCTGCCAAAGTAAGTCTCCCCTCTAAAACATTTGCAAATCCTACCCCTAAAAAATTGCCCTCCAATTTGCCGTTCCTATAGCACAGGCATAGGCAAACTCGGCCCTCCAGGTGTTTTGGGACTATAACTCCCACCATCCCTGACCACTGGTCCTGTTAGCTAGGGATGATGTAGTCCCAAAACATCTGGAGGGCTGAGTTTGCCTTTGCCTGCTGTAGCAGCAGTCACTTTTTGCAGCAGGCCATTTTTGAAATTAGTTTAACAAGTTGCTCTGGTTAGCAAGAAAAGGATGCTTTCTGCAAAGAGTGCTGTCTGGTACTCATTTGACAATCCTTTCAATGCCAGGCAAAGACCCCCCCCCCCCTTTAATGTCTTTGATTAGCTACTATGGGATTTGCTCAATCCAATGGGAATTGTGTTTGAGGAGAGGATTCTCTCATTACTTTGTTGGTTTGTTACGTTGTACTTATTTTATATGCTGCATTTCTTTGTATTTCATGTTTTTAATTATGTTATTGTACGTTGCTGAGATTCTGGCATAGGCACTCAAAATTCAGCATTTGATGAACCACAGTTTTACACTTGCATTCCACCCGTTATCCTTCAGATTCTTACCCCTAGTTCTCTCATGAACAAAAGGAGCTGAATAAGCTCTATTTAAGGAAACAGGCAGTTGGAAGTGATCATGTCAATCACCTAAGCTTAGAGATGAAATTTCTGGAATTTTGAAGACACAGGCAGGAAAATATTGTTTTTCGTTTCATTTTAAAAAAAATAATACAGATACAGAAGCAATACTTAATTGCTTTTTAGCATCTTTTGCAGAGCAAAAGTTTGTTACTTTAGGAACATAAAATGTATTATATATAAATTGGTTTGCCATTAAATTATCATGTTTATACAATCTCTTCAGTCAATATTTACAAACTCTTTTTACTTTTTGTTACAGATGAAACTACAAGCTGCTAGACTGCAAGGAACCTAGCTTCTCTTTCCTTTTGCCATTTTATAAGGAGCAGAAAATTATGATGGGCTGTAATCAACTAAGTCCTACTCAAAATAGACCCACTGAAATTAGTAGCCTTGAGTTCCTTATGTCTATTCACTTCAATGGGTCTTACTCTGAGTAGGATTATCGCTTAATATAATCCTATGTCTCATTCAGTTCTCCACACTGTCAAGCAGGCATAAAAAAGAACTGAGAAAAAGGGGGTCTCAATGAATGCTACATAAAATTTTATCAGTCTCATTTTCTGAGCTATTGCTTTCTGTTTCTGCTTCTTCATATTTGCCATCTTATCTATCATGGACTTCTAAAAGCTGAAGGTTTGAGTGGATTGAAACAAGCCTCTGTAGTCTAACATTTTCCCAGTTTTTGCAATTTTTCAGGGAAAAAGGGCTTCAAGGGAGGGGGGGGCCTTCACATTTTAGGTAAAACCACCTCCACAATCCACAAAGGGACCAAGGCATTAATAGGGACACCAGCCATGCCATGTGGAAACTCCTTGAAGGATTCTCAGAAATTCATCCAGATCTATCTGCCTCCAAGGGCAGACCATTCCAACTGGTACCTCACCTTTGCAGCAAGCCTAAATCTCACCAGAAAACGATCTGATCACAATAAAAAAGTGAAATAGAAATTCACCACATCCAGATAAACATCAACCCCACCTGATTAAGTGATTCTATGGAGGTATTTGCCCAACTACTTCTTAAAATGACCCCATGGTTACACTGGCGGAGGAAGAGGAGTGGGGGGGGAGTACACTGTTCCCAGCAGAGCAATCCTGGCAGGGTGCCATTGCGGCTGCCCCCCCCCCCCCCGCCTGCACTGGGCACCCCACCCCGTCCCCTGCAGGCGGCACACCCCGCTCCTAGGACGCGCGCCAGCCCCACCCCCGCCTGCTCTCTGTCCCCCCAGTGCCGGAGCATGAAGCTCTGCCACTGGATAGTTTACATGGCACCTATGAAATCTTGTTTTATCACAATGGTTTGCCTAAAGTGAAACAAACCACAGTTGTAAATTCAGACATCACGCTAAACCAAGGAACATGGTTGGTTTCCTCCCAGCTGTTGCAGGGAGGAGCACAGTGGATGCAATTTGTCCCTGCATGAAAAACCATGGTTTACAGTTTATGGCGACATGCAAACATGGCCACAGAATAAAGCATTTCATGTGTACTTGTTTTTGGGCCTCAAAGCTATAATGCACACATCAGATGCAAGCACGTTGCTCTTTTTTATTTCCATGTCATGAACTACAAGCAGAAAAAGTTAAACATAAAAAGTCTTACTTAATAAATGCACAGATCTTCTACTTTTCTTTGATGTAAAAATCCACTGAGTCTTGAAACATCCAACCAGGGTGCAATGATTTTCTGCTGAGAAATAAAGCGATATCTTTATGAAATAGAGAAGATGCAAAATTGTAGACAGGCAAACAGATGCACACACAAAACCCATTAAAATCAAATCAAATCAGGGAGTGGTCTCTCACCAATTCTAATAAGAATTCTTGTTTTCAAGTCTTTTCATTGGTTTAAGATTAGGGGATGTACATAGTTTGCTTAGCTATTTGATGTAATGTGTTTATTTTTATGTAATGGTATTATTTTACTATTGAGCACTCCTAATATAGTTCTTGTTCACTCTCAGTGATGAGGGCAGCAATATACCAAAATAAATTGAGCACATTATATTATTACATAAATTATTTGCACATTAATTTTAGGCTCCTTTTTTAAGCTCCTTATCCTTTTTCTTTTGAGGCTCCCTACCTGTTCACTTACTCTATTAATAATAAAAAATAATGTTTATAATTTATTACATTTAACTGTCGCTTTATAATAAATAAAATGTTTCAAAGCAACTCGACAAAATAAAATACACCACCATAAAAGACAATGTAGAACCAGAAACACTTAAAAATAAACAATACAAAACACAAGGCAGTCTCTGCTTGTGTTCAAGTCTCCCACACCTGAGACATGCCCCGCCCCTGACACTCCTTGCGGTTGCCTCTCCTGCCACACTTCCCTCCTTGCCTTCCAGCCTTCAGGCCAGAAGATAGAGAGAGGCAACTGTTGTGCTGAATTTCTTTCTTGAACCCAGGAATTCATATTAAGTACTAGGGGCAACTGATCCTATTCCCATCCAATGGGAGGATGTACAGAATGACAAATACCAATAACCTCTCTCCTTGGATACAGGAGAAAAAGTGACGATGTCCCAATTAACATCATTTGAGGCCATGCACACAGGACTGTCCTTAAGGGTAACTGGGCCCTTTAGAGCAAAGGGTTATCAGAGACTTGAGCGCACAGACTGAAATGACCAGAAGAAGACCTAGAAGAGAACTACTAGCTGCAGAATGTCTGGTGTTGTCTTTCATTGTATTGAGGCACACTTGCTATCCTGGCTGTTTTTATTCCCATTATAATCTTCCTACATGTGCTATCATGATTGAGAGGTAATTCACTAGATTCAGTGAGATTTTCTATTATGACAGACTTTCCCCTTATAATGATGCAAATGAAGCAAAGAACATGACCTCTTCACTAGTTTAGTTCTTTGTTGATTTGGTTGATAGTGTCTGGGAATCAAGAGGAAAGTGGATCATAGCTTTATACTGAGTGCTGTTAATCTTCCCTTTGCATAATGCTGGTACACTCTGGCCCAAATACTGGAGATTTATTTGATGTGCACACATTTTCAAAAACTAGTAAACACGTTGGATTCTATTACGAAAGAACAGCTTTGTAGCTCTTTTCAAGCACTATATTTATATACTGTATAGGTACTGTCATGTGTTTCAATTTGCATCTCTACAAAATGTTGAATTTTTTTTTGTTCCACAGAGGCGGGAGGAAGGAAATCACCCAGCTATTTCACTCATTTTGCCTGCATAAAGCTGTGTCACATGCATTCAGAACTCATTTTAGCATATTTAGCTACAATGATACATATTTCATTTATTTATATGCATTATTTATATGCAACCAATCACATATGGAATCATAAAAACAGACACTATGCTATACTATTCGTTCCAGAGGTCCGTTCTTAACCTGAAACTGTTCTTAACTTGAGACACCACTTTAGCTAATGGGGCCTCCCGCTGCTGCCTCGCCACCACCGCGCAATTTCTGATTCTCATCCTGAAGCAAAGTTCTTAACCCGAGGTACTATTTCTGGGTTAGCGGAGTCTGTAACCTGAAGCATTTGTAACCTGAAGCATCTGTAACCTGAGGTACCACTGTATGTTGGAACATTCACACAAAATCAACAGTTAATAGTTTCAATTTAATATACTTGGCTACTTCCTATGAAGTATGTAAAAATGCAAATTCTGATATAAACTTTCTCAAAAATGGTTTGATAGCATTTTGGGTTCATCTCTGAAGTAGAAGGAGCTGTTTGTTTATGAAAGTTGAACAATTTTATCTAACTAGAGGGGAAAAATAGTAGTTTTCTAAGAGCCAGGAAGCCATTGCAAATTTTAACATAAACTTTTGCATAAAAGCAAATATCCAGAAAAACAAGTGCTTTTAAAAAAACCCTGTAAATAATGCTAGCACAATACTTCAGTGACTTTAAGAGATGTGATACATGACTGCATAATAAATATAAAATTCAGTTACTACATATATGCAAAATGCTTTCAAAACTATACAAAATGTCATAAGAGTATGAAGATACTTTTAATCACATTCAGAGATAACATTCAGAGATAAAGAACTATCATTTTACTGAAGTTACAAATGCAAGCAGGATTGGGGCAAACTGAAAATTCAGCTTGAGCAACATTATGCTACGATTACTTTTCATTCAGTGTTGCAAACATTTTTTAAAAATACATTTATAGCCCAATAAAATGTTTTCTTCTCTCTTGTTATCTGCCAAACCACCACCATTTTACTCCCACAATAGTTTCAGTATTACTTTAGTTCCGTTAACATTCACACAGCTCAGCTAACATTTAACCACTCCTGTTTTTCACCAATTTGACCTCAATACATACTGTTAAGAAAAATGATACTACTGCACAAGGCATAGAGCACGCTGCATTTATAAATCGTCCCTATAACTAGCTAGAAAGTTACTGATCGTGTTGTTTACCTTGGGATATAGAAGACAATATAACCATCCAGAAGTTACTTAGCTAGGATTACATGTTTTTTTTACAGTGAATTCTCATCATGATGTGAAAAAAGCTTGTTCCATGTATCAGAATAGATGTAACCACTGAAAAAGCTCTTACTTCATGTTCTTTAAAGTTCCGAGCAAACAGGACAAAGCTGTATTGCGAACGGTGAAAATCTGCTGCCTGGAGCAGTAAACTCCCACTCCCCACAAAAGCAAAATCTATTAGGCCCCAATTCTTTACTTAATTCCATTGTGTAAACCATCAAATGTGGGCATTCAGAAAAAAAATGCTTTCACAGAAGCAGCCCTTGGGGTGGGGAAGAAACAGATTGGGAATAAGAATGTCTTCTATACTACAAGATTGAATTGTAAGTTTTAAAAATAGACACAGATGGGGGAAGCAAATGCTAGGAAAATACCATAGATTTGCAAACAAAGAATAACACACACACACACACAGAGAGAGAGAGAGAGAGAGAGAGAGAGAGAGATACATGGGAAGGACCTGCAACACATTCATTAACAAACACAGAAAATAGCAGAACTTAAAACTTTTGAAGTAGCACTCCAAAATTTACACAATTTTGGCTGTGCCACATTTTGGAACCATCATGACAACCTGTGTCAGTGAGCTCCAAATTAAACACCTAGAGCCATTTTTAATTCATTACAGCTACCAACCGTCACAAGCCCTGTTCGCTTTCTTTCTTAATTTGATCACTTTTGCATAAGACTGATTTTCTGTTCCATGAATACGGAACCCTGTGCCTGCTCCCACTGAGTTCACACAATGCTGCGTAAGTTTGAGAATGAATTTCATTCAGCCAGCAAAGGCTGTAACATTCTATAATGATAGAGACAAACTCTATTAAATATGCCAGCTTCTAAGGTGTGTTTTTTTTAGTATGATGGGATTTTTCTGTGAGACCATGAGCTCGTTAATCCATGCTAAAAAATAATTAGCCAGGAGAACAATCTGCCTAGACTATGGTGGCAAGGGATTCTCTGTAACTCAGGATCTCCAAATCAAGTACTGGAACATATATTTTAACTCAACTGGAAATTACAAGGACAATATAGGAATAACTACCAAGTTCTATATCCTGCATTATGCTGTTACAATGCCAGACTCAGACATCATAATGGTCTCCTTATGGGTTTTTAATCTGAGTCTATGAATTATCTAATCCAAGCTAGCAGTTGCTACTTTATGACTAAAGCCTTGTTAGTGAACTGCAGTCCACAGAGACATAGCTACTATTAGTAAATGCTAACTAATTAGACTCTTACCTCTGACTCACATCTGTAGTAGCAATTCATATATTCTACTTTTAAGACAATAATGAAGAATCAAAGCTTTGTCCAGTAGAAATTCTGTCAGCATGCCTCTCAATGACTGGGATGTAATAGCCTCAAGAAGTAAAATTTCATAAAATATTTTAATAGGCCAGGAAACACAACCATTTGTGAAGTTATTCTGGTTGGGAAGTACATTGCAAATTTTGCAAAGGAAATAGCAAATTTTGCTATTAGAATTAAAGCAACTCATCATCTGGCTGAATGTTATGATGAGAGAAACTAAAGATAAAAGGTAAAGGAACCCTGAACGGTTAAGTCCAGTCAAAGGCAACTATGCGGTGCGGAGCTCATCTCGCTTCAGGCCGAGGGAGCCGGCGTTTGTCCACAGACAGTTTTCCAGGTCATGTGGTCAGCATGACTAAACCGCTTCTGGCGCAACTGAACACCATGACGGTGTTTTCCATTCAGCAAGTACGTTATTTCCAACAAAATGTTGGAACACTGCCCTCTGCCTTTGTGGCAAAGTCCTGTGTTATTATCACCAAGTATATTTCCAATTACTCCAATTACTCCAATTACTCTCTGCAAGGAGCAGAGAGAAGCTGATAAAAAGGGTACAAGTGGATAAATGGAGTACAAATGACAACTGCTATGAGGATGCAACCAAAAACAACTGAACTATGGCAAATTCAACCAAAAACAAAATGAACTATGGCCAGCTCCAGCCATACAGATGGGTCTACAAACCACATGGAGCTTCTCTACAGTATTGCCAGCCACACTTGTGAAGTGGGGATATAGGGATTGGAGAGCCAATGCTCTCTTTCACATCAAATGTAACGATTTGGGGCCTATATACTTGAAGTAGCATCTTCCCTAGTATCTTCCGACACAGACTTTGCCACGAGGGTGAGAGGTCCTGGTCATAGTTGCATCAGTGCTGGAGAGGAGAATGGTCATCTGAGATTGAGACAGGGCATTCTCAGTGGCAGGAGCCCCCATGGAATTCCCTTCTGTGTAAAATCAGATTTTCCCTCGCTCTGGCTATGTCCAGATACAATCTGAAAACTCACCTACTCACTCAGGCCTTTGATTGGTGTTAGAGAAGTATTATTTAAAGCTATTTTTATTGTACTGTTTTGTGTTGTTAGCTTCCCTGTGCTTCCTTTTGGGACAAAAGGCACAATAACAAATATATTGCTCTATACCACATAGTGAATGAAGAGGTTATGTAATGGTTTAGAATGGATGTCTGGTATACATCACTAGGAGGGACAGAAACATATTCCATCTATATCCTTCCAAATATCCCAGTCATCACTAGAACTGTAACCTCACTGACTGGCCTTGCTTCCACAAGATAACCGCTTGACAAAATAAAATAAGGGAGTTCATTGGACAGGAAAATGTATTTAAGATTGTTTTTATACATTATCATCATCATCATCTATTATACATTATGGCCAGGCTAGAGGCCTCTTCACAAGGCAAGGATGGTCACTACCATATGCACTGAGTTCATAAGGACCTTCTATCCCAAGTTTGAGATCTTTTAGCATGTGACTACTTTTAATCAGGGGCAATATATCCTATGGCACACATACACACTATTTGAAAACTGGAATATATGGAGAAAGCTTTCCAATTTTTGACAGGTGTACTGTATTGCTCCCACTACAAATAACCTGATGCTATGAAGTTGGTGTGTGTCATGTGGCAAATGCTTAAAGCTAACAAAATAGTTAGAGATATTCAACTAAGTTTTACCCAGAGTAGATCCATTAAGGGTAATGAAAATGACCAAGTTAGTTCCATTTGTTTCAACGGAGTTACTCAGTAAAACATAGTTGAATGCCATCCAATGTTTCCAGCCATCTCATCATGTTTCCCCTCCCCTTTCCTGATTGGCTGTGGCAATAGTCATGCCATTATTATGACTGGAGGCTACAGGCACCCAGATTTCTGGAAAACCACCCCAAAGCAAGCTTTCAGCTGGCTGCCAAGCAGCAAAAAACCTCCCCGTCTTTTTTAAAACTACATTGAGGAAATTGTATTGTACAATGTTTCTGATTTTTGTTATTAGTGCAGCATGTAATTCTGCAAAGGAAATAATAAATTATAGAAGGGAAGAAAGTACTTGTCACTCCTTCCCTTCTTCAATTATCATTGCCCAAAGAAAAACATTAGAGAAATGCAACCAGAGAAGCATCTTCGGGGAAGGCATCTTTTAACCACACCCATCTCAAAAACAGTATTTGAAAAGTCTACAAACCTCTTTGTGGCAAGCTAAAGATAACAGCAAATGAAAAATACTGGTTGGGGTAATTAGTGCTTATTCATCGTTTTTCAAAAGAAGCATATCCAGTTGAGGGTGCAGGAGGCAAAAACAAATTCTTGGTTTTACTATATATTTTGTAGTTTCTTCAAGTGACAAAATGATCAAAAATACAGACAACTCTGTCATAAAATGATACTACTTCACCTGATCAAAAAGATCTCCTTTCCAAATCTTGCTCCAGCATTTCTTTGTGGTCAAAAGGTTTTGGTATTAGTATTAATATTTAAATGTCAAGTATGTGAGAACACATTTCCTGTGCTATCTAAAGTATTTGGAACAATTTTCAGTGAAGCAGTAATATTGCTCCTGACTTGCAATTTCAACAACCCTGACTGGAAAAAGCAGCTCTTAAAACATCTGTATAAAATTTCTTTTGTGTGTACCCTTATAATACTGCTCCTCTTTCACCTTGAAACAGTTTATTCTAGTTCCCAGCTGCAAGACATATTTATTCTTTTCATAGAGTGCTATTCATACTGGGATATCAGTTGCATTTAGAGTGCTTAAGGTGATATATTTGTTTCATATTCACACTACATTTGATAGCCATTTTAACCATCAGGTCCCTGTATGTTTTATGGAAAAGCAGTTATTTGTTGCAATTTCTTCATTATTATTATTTCCCCCCCCAAAAAAAACCATACTCAATTTTAACATTTTACTAAGATGGTACACAACAGATATGGTTATCTATGTAGTCCTTTTAAATTAAGTTCTCATGCTTAGTTAGAGCTGTTATTTTTATTACATGTGGGTGTCTTAATAGTAATGTGCTGTGATTGTATAGCTGAGAGCTTGCTTTCTCCTACAAATCTATACAAGCTTTCAATACAGCAGCATAAATAGTATGCGATGAATCAAAAATACACAAATGGGAGTTTCGGCTCTCTGTATTCTGCTGTAGTCTGGTAAATGTGTTTTGACAATGGACCACATTTTTATGTTTGTTTTGTATTTTGCACTCTAGCATCACAGAATTGTACAGTTGGAAGGGACCCCGAGGGTCATCTAGTCCAACCCCCTGAAATGCAGAAATCTCAACTAAAGCATCCATGACAGCTGGCCATCTAACCTCTGCTTAAAAACCTCCCAGGAAGTAGAATCCACCACCTCCCAAGGGAGGCCTTCCACTGTCCAACAGCTCTTACTATCAGAAAGTTCTTTCTGATGTTTAGTTGGAATCTCCTTTCTTGAAACTTGAAGCCATAGCTTCAGGTCCTACCCTCCAGAGCAGGAGAAACAAGATCACACTGTCTTCCATGTGACAGCCCTTTAGATATTTGAAGGTGACTATTGCATCTCCTCTTCTTCAGGCTCAACATACCCAACGCCCTCAACAGTTCCTGATAAGACTTGGTCGCCCTCCTCTGCACACAATTCAGCTTGTCAATTTATTTCTTAAACTGTGGTGCCTAGACCTGGACACAGTACTCCAGGTGTGGTCTGACCAAGACAGAATATAGCAGTATTATTACTTCCCTTGGTTTGGACACTGTATATTTCTGCTGATTCAAGCAACTCCTTTTTGAGGGGAAAAGCAGAGTATACGTTTATGTAATCAATGAGACATAATAACCAAAGTAGTAATAACAATAATAATAGTAATAAAATTTTATTTATATCCCGCCCTCCCCAGCCAAAGCCAGGCTCAGAGCAGCTAACAACAGTAAAAATAGCACAGTTTACATAAAATCACAGTCAATTAATTGAAATACATTGTAGCAGAGTGCATTTCCTTTCACAGAAATCATTGCCTTGTCAAGTTTAATCTCTTCTATCCCTGCATAAATATCAGATCAAAATCTTAAAAGACCACGCCTCACATGTCATGTCTCTTCCTCTACAAACAAGCGTAACAAAATGCCTTCATGAGTTCAGCAGTATTCTTTCCACAGGTAGTGAACTTGCATGTAATGTGAAATAATATTTTAAGGTACTATCCCAGAATATGCTGCACAATCTCAAAAAATACTGCTGGTCAGGTGGTGATATATAACAATCCAGGCCTTTGTTTCACTTCTGTCTATGACCTGACTACATACTTGAACCAGCGCGGGTCTGCCCCTGTGGCTCGTTGGAGGCTGAGACTGCTGCACATGTACTGTTGCGTTGTCGTTTTTATGAGGACATACGTTCGATTTTTATTGCTCCTGTTTTGCGGAAGTCCGGGAAGGAGTCGGAACACCATGGTTTGGAACCGCTGCTAGAGGACAAGAATACTAAGACTACATTAAATGTAGCCAAATTCTGTGCGGCTGCAATTAGTCGCAGGAAGCAAGTGGTATCCCATGGTGACCAAACCCCCAAGTGTTGATAGCAGGGGGCATGCTAATAATTAATTTTAATTTTTAATTAATAATAATTAATTTAAATTTTTTAATTAATAATAATTAATTTAAATTTTTTATATTTAAATGCTTGTTATACTTATATTGCCCTTTGTATTTTTTATATGTATTTTTTATGATCTGTGATGTTGTGTGTGTTGGCGCTGGTCTGTGACCGTATTAATAAATTCATTCATTCATACTTGAACAAATAAGCTAACATGCATACAGTGCACTTACATGTTTTGCAGACATACATTTCCTTTTGCATAGAGAACCTTATGGTTGTAAAACCTATACAGACAAGTAGTCAGAAGAGAGTTTATATCTGAAACAAACAAACCAAAGGAACAGAAATGGCCCTAAAATAGTATTTAGACATGGGGGAGGCGGAGCAGAGAAATAAATAAAAAATTAATGTAAGGAATGCAACATTGCTCATGTCAGGGCTGCTGTTGGGATACCGCCCTGATGCTGCCCCCGCACCCACATCAGGCAGATCTGAGCCCCCACTTGCCCCAATGTTGCCACCAGCCCCACCACCGCAACATCGCCTGTGGCTGTGCCCACAGCACAGAAGCAGCAGTGAGGGCACAATGGCAGTGGCACAGTGGTGGCATCATGGGAGAAGCCTTGGCAGGGCTGGCAGTGGCACAATGGCAGCAGTCAGATTTGCCACCAGTGGCAAATGGTTTCACTGTGCCTTATTGATGGGCTGCCCCGGCTCATGTGGCAGGACTTCACCGCCTTGTCTTCAATCAGTGCACCTGCAAAATCTGCTCCAAAGGATCCTCCAGTGTCCTGGGGCAGACTATGAGGGCCTGCAGAGGGCTGCTGGGGGAAGAACAGGTTGCCCCCGCTGCAAAAGCAGACAGCCTCCTTGGATGCAAGCAAGACCTATGCCAGCAGCCTAAACACCTGGAGAAATAGAAGGCTTGGGTTTAAGTCAGCGGCTTGCCTATTGCAAATAACCGCAGCTGTCCCTAACCAAGCTACTGAGAGTCAAACAGGAAAAAGCATTTGTGTGTATTCAAATACCAATGGTCAGAGGCAATTTGTAACAGATTGAAAAAAGGGTGGACTTTCCCCCCTCATAATGTTCTTCTAGATGTGTGTTTGCAAAGTAAACACGCAACTGGGACACTCTAGATGGGAAAAAGCAGTTTGGGAGACCTAAAATTGAGGAGGCAGCTGAAAGGGAAATGTTTAAGCACATCCCGTACACCCCACTGTTTCCCTACGGGGTTACGCTGACCTGATGCTGCTTTGCAGTAAGGAAGCACATCTGCATGTAACATAGACCATAAGTAGCAAAGCACCCCTGCCTGTGGCTCCTTCTACTGCTTTCTACTGCATTTTCTAGGTTGGAAAGAAAAGAAAAGCACTTTGACAGACCTGTTCTTTGCTAGTCTTCTGACTGCTACCACTTAGGAATTCCTTCTAATTTATTTACTATGGGGAACAGTGTCCAATTTGGGTCACCACACCTCAAGGCGAATAAAAAAAATTTGGGGGGTGGGGAGAGAGGACAGTCCTGGAATGCAACAAAAATGGTAAGAAAACAGCAGACAGAACTTGGGTGCACTTGCAGGCATACACAGTGAATGCAGGGGTGGGAAGCAGAACAAGACAAACGTGAGACATATCTGGGATGGAATAAGGCCGCAGTTTGATTGACTGATTAAAGAGAAACAAGTTTGGCATAGCCACAGAACATGGATCCAATGATCAAGCAGCCCAAGTGCTGATCGATACACCGTCATACCAAAAGGGGAATGTCTAATATTTAGGGTCCACTATAGCATGAACTGATGTGGGTGGCGCTGTGGGTTAAACCACAGAGCCTAGGACTTGCTAATCAGAAGGCCGGCGGTTCGAATCCCCACGACGGGGTGAGCTCCCGTTGCTCGGTCCCTGCTCCTGCCAACCTAGCAGTTCGAAAGCACGTCAAAGTGCAAGTAGAAAAATAGGTACCGCTCCGGCAGGAAGGTAAACGGCGTTTCTGTGTGCTGCTCTGGTTCGCCAGAAGCGGCTTTGTCATGCTGGCCACATGACCAGCTGTATGCCGGCTCCCTCGGCCAATAAAGCAAGATGAGCGCCGCAACCCCAGAGTCGGTCATGACTGGACCTTTACCTTTACCTATGGAATGAACTATTTTCAGGGGAACCCTTAGAGACAACATGGTAGGGGGCACTATGGCCCATCAGCCCCCAATCTGGCCTTCTGGTCAGACAGCACCGTCCTCCAAGAGAACTCCCCTTGAGATGGGGCCGGGTGTCTTTCCGCAACATCCCTTCTATGGATCCAGCCCAGTGCCCCTTCTGCCCTTACAAAGCTGTGACATAGGATAAATGCAGCATTACAATTTTGCTATGAGGTAGGCAAAAACAAGCAAGTCATGTACTATGGCCATTCCATCAGTTAGTTAAAAAAAAATCCTGCCTGGTCCTGTGGGTGAGGGTAAGCATGTCTGGGCCCCTTAATAAACCCTAGGAGCAGACCTGAGCAGAAGTCCTCACTCAGATCTGCTTTCCAGGCTCCACTCATGTAAGTCGGAGTGTGCGGGGTAAAGTCTGCTGTTTGTCCCCCAATGCCATGAGCAGCTGAAAATCGTGGCTCTGTTTTCCTTTGGACGTCACCGAAGCCGGGAAGTGGGGGGGGGGTCTTGTTGTCTGGGCAGACCAGGACCTCCATGCACCCTGCCCAGGCTTGTGACTCATGGAGGTCATTTTGATTCTGCCAACACAGAGGCTTGACTTAACCACCAGAGGTGCACTCCATTGGAGAGAGAGAGAGAGAGAGAGAGAGAGAGAGAGAGAGAATGATGGATGGATGCCAACAACAAGGATATGAACTATAGTCTTTTGACAAGGGTACAGGCTTTGGGGAGTATTCTCACTTCTGTCAGGGAGTTAACGTCCCTTCCAGCTCTTAATTATGTAACAAACATCTTCCAAACATTTTCATAATACCTGGGACAAAACTATTGAAAAAGACCATTTGTCAAGGAAACAGGTCACCAGAATAAAATACAAAAGTGAGAAAAGGCTTGTGCTATTTAAATATCATAAACACTTTGCTAACCACTCGCAGATGGAAATACAGACGCTTTTGCCAGATGCCCATCTTCAAAAACTTTGCTCAACTTTTCATTATTTTGAAGACGCAATAAAGCCTGTTTGCTGATTAAAAGGACACTGGCTTTGAGAGAGAATCTAGTGATATGGTAACTAATAATGTTTTTTAAAAACCTTAAGTATTTTCCAGCATTACACCCATTGGCCAGGCCAAGGTCTTATTTCTTCCTCCCCAGAGAAAACGTATAATACAGGCAATAAGTGAAACCAAAACAAAGTGCTATCAAATGCAGAATGCAAACAAACTGGGAAAGGATCTTTTCCTCCAGTAATTTCTATCTTGTAGTAATTGTGTGCAGTAATTGCGGCAACCAATTTTGAGAATGACTTTTTAAATGTATGAGAAATCCTTGCTATTTTGACAGGTGCAATTTACAAGTGCAAAATTATTTACATCATTTCTTCCCTTCTTACCCTCGCCATGACCCTGAGAACTAGAAAACTATTTTCCATTTTACTGAAGGGAAACTAAGGCCACACATGAGTGACCTTACTGCAAGCTGCCAGTGGTTGAACTGAAGTTGCTTAGGTTTAGCACAAAGACGCCAGCTTCTGCATCACGTTCTCCTGGGCTTTTAAATGCAGAATTTGCAAACAAGTCTTACTGAAATCAATTAATAATTTCCCTGAAAAAGCATTTTTGTTAACTCCTCTGTTTTTGTGCATTTTGGTTTAAATGGAAAAGTGAACGCTAAACAGGCAAGAAGATGCAATCCAGCATTGTCCTATACTATGAACCATTAGGACACTGTAGAGCATTTCAGACCAGGCAAAAATGCCACCAACCAGAAAAAGCAACAAGCCTGAGTTTGGAAATCACAAGGCTGATTCTTGCTGCATCCAGATCTTTCTGCTGTCTGCTGAGTTCCCTGAACTGTCGAGCCTCACTGTATTCTGCCATGTTCCTCCACTGTGCAACATGTGAGTTATGGACTCCCCCATCCCCTGCATACATTCTCTGCTACTTAGCCACTGGGATGTAATTCAGCAAGTGCTCAGATGCTTCATGTCCTTGGTGCTAACTGTAGCCCAACTGCACATGTTAAAATAGCAACCAATTTTTCTCTGTTTTTGATTTTGCATTAATATTCCACTTTTCCTCCAAGAAGTTCAAGGTGATGTACATGCTTGGCTCCCCCTTCTGATGTTAAGCCTAACAACCACCCAGTGAGGTTAAGCTAAGAGGTAGTGATTGCCCTAAGGCCTGGCAATGACTACACTAAGGTCCAATGCCCTCCTGTTCTTGTGTCAGCAGCGATGGGGAAAACCTCTGGTCCATGGGCCTAATTATGCCCATCAGGCCATTTTGGCAAAGCCAGACTCATCTGCCCTACACCTGATGCCATAAATTATGTCAGATGTGGGGCAGGGAAAAGTGGCAGCTCAGCCAAGAGAAGAGATTTCACATCAGAGAAACCACCACCTGCCAGAATAACCCCTCTGAGTTTGGCAGTCACGTGATCCAGGAGAACCAATCCTACGCCTCTGCCTGTCATAGTTCTAATGCCTATACACCCTCAGTCTGGAAAACATCAGAAAGAAGCAACTAGGATACCTGTAGCTGCTTCCAGATTTTTCTGCTGCCTGGTTCCACTCCTCCCCCCCCCCCACAAGCAGCTGGTTGTCAGGGTGTGACAAAATACCAACAATCAGCTGGGAATGGCAACATTGGAGAGTTTTCAAGGTTCTCTAGTGCAGCCAAGGGGGCTGGAGAAAGAAATTTGTATTCAACTGGAGGGAGTATGTTAAATGCAACCTGCTTATTCTGAGAAGAAAATGCTCTGGTTTTAGGAACATTTCCCCCCTTCAAAAGGACTAACTGTCAATCAGCTGGTCAGTGGTCCCAGGGAACCTCTTTGAAGACGCATTCCTAGAACCAATCAGATGATTGGCTCTGGTAGCAGGTCTTCAAAGGGGGCTGCTTTAAGCACTCATGAATAACTTTGCACTTTGAATAACAAGTGTGAATCATCTCATGTCCATCCCCTGGCACCATAATAATAAGTCCACCTGTCAAAGTTGGCCCATGAGGGTATGTGGGGGAGATAAGGACCTGGTCCATAGGCTGGATCCAGTTCTCCACCTGTTACACAGGGAGTACCACAAACTACTGCTGCCTCTGCCTCTTTCAACATCCATGCTATAGCTGGTCCATGGTCCATGATTTTTCATAGGAAAGCCTATTGTTGCTGCTTCTGGAATAAGAGCCACTGCTCAGAACACTTGGCCACCATGAGTTGCTTCCCATCCACCAGCTAAGTTTTAACCAATCAGGTTTCGAACTTCCAAATTGCTAGTGAATTAAACGCATGACTCGCTGATGTGGTACTGATACAGAATGCATGTTATTGTTGTTGTTGCTGCTGTTGTTTAAAAAAACACTTATACTGTAAAAGACACGTTGTACTTAGCAGCCACAGAAGTGGAACAAAAAAGAAAACTGGAACAGAAAGAAAAGGAAAGAAAAAGTCTGGAAGGATGTGCAACATTTTAAAAATCCCAGCAAGTTTCAGAGGAATGTGTACGTGCAAATATAAAAAGCTTTTCCCATGAGTAAAGTGGGAGTGGCAAGGTTCCTGGAATGAAAGACGAATCGTATGAAATGCAGACTTGGAACCCCTTTATTGCTAATAAGAAAAGCAAGCAGTTACAGTTCTGCAGAAATGCTGACAGCTTTACAAATCCTTCAGTTAACCCAGGGCCACAGACGAGGCCATGTATATGTGCGTGCACTTGAACCACACTACGAAAGTAATGACCCTGAAAAAAGCAGAATTTGTTCATCATATGTCTGTATACAGTGTCCATATCAGCAAGGGAAAGTAAGTTATTAGCAATTAGATATCTAGTGTGGAAAAGGGGAGGACAGGATAATAAGATACGACCTTATGTTTCACCCAATCCCTTCTTCGAATAGTTTTGCCAAGTTAAACAGAAATATCCTCCGTATTAGTGGCCCAGAGAGAAGAAAAGATACTCATCATTATCAGAGAATAAATTATTTTCAAGTCACCAAGCATAACAGCGGTTAATTTGTTTTGCCTACAAACCAGCACAGCCCTGACTCCCAGCAGAGATCTTGGCTCAAGTGGAGGTTTGCCATTCCAGCAACCCCACCTCACTTTACAAGCATGGTTCCTTATAACTCACCAGTGTGAACCTGCAGTACTTCATCTAGCTTCTGCATTTAACTTCTGCCTATGAGCGTATTGTTTTTTTAAAAAAAAGATATACAAGACACATTAAGAAAAATAAGGAGCATAAGGCTCTGGTAGGTACAACATATGCAATGCAAAACTACTTGTTAGAATACTCATGCAAGCAAAAGCTATTTTAAAAAGCTCTAAGCACTTTCCAGTATGCCTGGCTGTTATAAATGTTGGTGAAGTGTCACTTGGTTTGCATCTCTCCCATTCCTTTTCTCCTAAATAACATTCCACACAAGCTGTATTTTTGACAAGGGAGTATATTGTCTGGCTCTGTTTAATATAAGAAAAATGCTTTTTCTATGTCTATTTCTGTTATTAAAAACATATTCGTGGCTTCAACTTAATATACACAGTGCTATCTGGAGGGAAACGTAATACAAGCCAATCATTTTAATTTACTTCTCCTGCATTTTTCTGAAACACACCAAAGATGCACAGTATAGCTTACCCCACAAGAGAGGTGGAGACACACAAAAGAAAGTTGCTTGCCCTGTTCTAGAAACTCCAGAGCTCTGTATGTTCGGAAAGACTAAAGGCTCAGTCCTTACTTTGATACTGGGGAATATTTTAGTTATCAAAAGCACAAAATTTATTGTGCACAGCTATTATGTTTCTGTAAACTACATCTGGTTAACATTTTTGCACAAGCTCTTGAATCGCAAAGGCGTCATATCCATCGCTGTCTGCCTGTGTTTCATTTTTTAACTCCTGCCAGGGGTGCATGCACAACTAAGCAGCACAGCCACAAGCTACCCATTTAGCACTTGTGCCAATAAAAAAGCCCCCACCAGAAATAATGTTTGTGTTGATGGATGGTACTTCTTCCTTACCCACCATAAATGCTTCCGTGAGCATGGTTACACCAAGTTGTTTCATGCATCCAGGTTGGTGGCTGCTTAAAAACAGACCATTTATGCGGAATCTGTGTTAACTGGGTTTCAGTTTAGATCACTAGGTTAGTCTTAAGAATTCAGAAAAAATATCAGTTTCCATCTGTGCTGTACACTTCTGATCTGTCAAATGATGCAATGCGGTATAAGCCAACTCACAGAATATGCTTCTTGTCTGTATTGAGTAGTCAAACTATTTCTGATCAAGAAAAATGTAAAAACTCATCTTTCTTTTTTTAGCCAATCACCACATCTGTACTTTTTTTCACAAGAAACCACTGCAAAAACATACCAGATTATTATTTTTTAACTGTCTTGGCAAATAGTCATAAAAATGCTGAACTCATGCTCTCTGCTCTGCTTGCATGCAATAAGAGACCCTGAAAACCATGATTCACTCCTCAAGCAGAAATGAATCTGACTGGCCATAACTGTCAGGAATGAGGAGAGAAATGTAAGGACCAAAGGATAAAGCACTGCTGAAAACTACAAAATGCTGGAGTAAGTAATATTTTATAATGATCTAACACAAAGCAACCAAAATGTTGCAAAACATCCCAGTTTTCCAACTATTCAAGGGCAGAGAAACAAGAGAAATGGGAATCTGCACACAGATGGGTGCAACGCTACAATTATTGCACCATTTTTATTTCTAAAATGTACAAGCATTGCAACTGCTTTTAGCAGAATCAACTCTGAAGATCAATGGGGTGACAGATGTCACAGCCAGATCGCCCTCACATCCTTATGTACTGAATTTTACATGGCACCTATTTAACACACAGGCAAAACAGAAAACAAAATCCATAGTGCCAGCTTTGATTTAAGAGACGGGGCACTCATTAATAGCATTATTCACTGTTATCAACTGTTTACTTGCCTTCCACCAGTTTAAGTATTCTCATGGCAAGACTAAACAGCATAAAAACACATAGCATGATATCCCCAGACCCATTCAGAAGCTTCTGAAGCTCAGATTAAACGCAGTCTGCTCAACAATCCCGTCACTATTAAGTAACTCATCAGAAAATAAAGAGGGAATTATCAAATGGGAATTGAGAAGTAATTATTTCTCTGAAGCAGAGGACACTCCACTTCTAAGAGGAGGGGCTTCTCCTTAGCCACATGTGAGAACTAGAGCCTCCTAGTCAGAAAATAAAATACTGTATATGGTTAGATGTGCACCATTTTTAACTACAAGAGGCATGTTGAGAATAAGCTTTAGATTCAGTTGTATGAAATAATGCAACACAGTGTGTTACCATGCAGAATTTCCCCTAGGTCCATTCTACCCACAACAGAAAGCACTACATCTAAATTCTTAATATTTACATATATCATTCACATAATCAGGTCACTGGATCATTCATACGGACCTTATGAAGAATCTCAAGTTATCAAGGGCCTATCCACTTTATGAGCGGCTGGTAAACTCCAGTCACTCCTGGATTAAGCACATTATCTGAAATCATTTCAAATCACAGGCCCAGGCTTGGGATAGAAACTGCCTTGGGTTGCTCAATGGGATAATCTTTGCCTTGAGAGAGACAGGAAAAGTGTGAATGTGTTGGTTCTTTTGGACCACTCAGTGGCTTTCAGTAACATCAAGGGTTGAAGGCCTCCCCTTTGTTCTTTGCAGAGTGGTGCCTATGTTTGTATCATTTATTATTCTTAGGATCCTTGTCTATAAAACCCAATAAAAAGTTATTTAAAAACAAGAATGAACAAACTGAGAATCAATCCAGACAAGACTGTGGTACTGCTGATGGGTGGTTCTAAGAGAACAGCATTCAACCGGTTCTGGAAGGAGTTACACTTCTCCTAAATATTCCAGTTCACAGACTGGAGGGGGGTAGGGCTTTTGGATCCAGCATTGTCATTAGAAACTCAAGGAGGATCTGTGGCCAAAAGCACCTTTTATTAACTTCAGCTAATATGCCAGCTCCATATTTATTTAGTTTTTTGCTTTCATTGTTTTTTGCTGATTTTAATTGTGATATATTGTAATTTTTTTAGCATTGTTTTGTTTGCCTGTAAGCAGTCTAGGTGATATTTCTTCCTGGGCAGCTATATTAATTTGCTGAAATACTAAATATAACATTTCATTACTGTAACAACAACAACAACCACAGGGGTTAGGGGTTTATCTCTATGCCATAACTAAGCCTAGACCCTATAGGTAAGAACCCATATCTTGGCTATGAGATTTCCAGAAGTGGGTAATTGAAATATAGGGGCACAAGAAGGCGAGAGTGAAGATGTAATTAATTGCAGCCAGGACTGTGATACTCAACAGAGATGTGCACATGCAAATATGTCACTGTGGTCAGCAACGTGTGGCAGTGATGCAGGAGGACAGTTTGATGGTAGTGATTATTGGAAAAGGAGGTGAAAATATAACTTACAGTATCATAATGCTCTTATGCAAATATTTGATGCAGCCAAAACTGGAATACTGTTTGGTTCTGATCATACCATTTCATAAACTTTATTGAAGAGTTGAAAGAAGGGCGGGAAATGGCAAGCAAAATGATTATGGGGCTGCAATAAAGAAATGTTATGAGGTTTAGGACTTTTAGTTCAGGAAGAAGTTGAGTGCGGGTGGGAGGGGAAAGATTTGTTAAAGGTTTATACAACTATGCAGGATGCAGAAAAAGTGGGTAGAGATAAGTTATTCTTCTAATATAATAGTAGAATTTGGTGTCATCTAATCAAACCAATTGGAAGTGGATTCAGGACAGACTAAAGAAAGTAATTTACATAACACATTACAGAATTCAAAGCCTAAATATGTGGTGATGGGCATTAGACAAATTAATGCAGGATTGCTCTGTCAATGGCTACTAGTCATTATGGCTTTATGGAATATGCATTTTTAGGGGAAGCATGCCAGTGAAAACTAGTTGCTGGAAGGCAACAATGATGGAGGGCTTTTGTATTCCTGATTCCTAGTTGTAGGCTTCCAAAAGGCATCTGGTTGGCTATGGTAGGAAACAGAAAAGTGGACCTTTTGATCTGATCTAACGGGTTTCTTCTTAGGTTGTTAAATTACAATGCTGTAACAGACGTAAAACTACAACAAATATTAAACAAGTACCTGGAATAAAATGGCCTTCACCTCTAAAACAAAGGCTCAAAATACCCGGAGAACAGTCAGTCAATTATTTTATCTAAGTGGCTTAATTTTACTTTTCAAAATCACAAAGTGTAGGGAAACATATAAATCAAATCTAGCTTCTAAAGGCTTTGAATTCGTAAAATAAATATAAGGTTCTCAAATATGTCCCAATTGTTAAACCATTCATGATCAGGAATTGAGTTCATGAAGTACAATATTTCAACAAACAAGAGCCATCACTGTCAGTCAGTTCTTCACTCCCAACTACTACATTTATTCTTATAATTCAGCAGGAAACTCATTAAAAAAACCACACACCTCTAATTACTATCTATTTACACAGAAGTCAAATTTGAATTTGATTCTTCTGATACTTTCAGGTCTATTTTTTTTTAAATCAAAATTGTTTTCCTCCTTCCCCCTTCAGGTTATGTATTGTACATTGAAAGTAAAAGACATTAACAAAACATTGCTGCTAAGGACAACAAATGCTGCTCTCCAACAGACAGCAGGGGGCACTGATATCTTCCCCACAATTGCAAAAACAAAAACAAAAAATCACTATTTTAAATACATATTCTCTAACTCACCATACACACATTTAACAACTCCATGAAAACAAGCTGCATTGGTAAATATTTACAAAAAGAAAGCAATAGCTACAAAACCAAGTCAAATAAATTATACAATATAATTTGTTAGGCATTACACGTTGCCAAAATGCCCAGTATCTCACACAGAATCTTCTTTGAACAACAAGTGTAAAGCAAAGCACTAAGCCATTTGCCTAAATTATCATCATCAACTACATCAACTTTCCTCCAAGCTCAAAGCACCATCCAATATTCTTTCCTCTCCTGCTTATCCTCACAGCCACCCAGTGGCATAGGTTAGGATGAGAAAGTGACTAGCCCACAGTCAAGTAGGGATGTGAACCTAGGTCTCCTCACTCCTAATGACTACGTTATAGTGGTTCTAAATGAGAAGTCATGCGTACTCTTGGAACTATAACATCGGCTGTGATTTTTCCAGTCCAGGTTTCACAAATCTTACACAACATTGGGAAAAAGATATACCTATACCTTTATACAGCAGCCCAGGGAACAGGCTTATAATAGTTACTGATCTACTTGACTGAAAATAAATAAAAGCACAAGTTCCTTCATTGTAGATCAAGTGTTCTACAATAGTCAGTAGAGCAGGAGGTGGCTACAATTGTTTGTCCCAAATGACCCCATTGTCCCATGGCCAACCCTCTGAGAGTCAAATACCAATGCTGAGTTTGGCGAAACTGGGTGTGGCCACCCTACACCCTGCACTCTCACAAGCTTGCACACACACAAGCAGACAGATCATGGCCAGGGTGGGGGTGTTTAGCATCCCCATCACGACATTAGGCTCCGCCTTCCCTGGCACTGTCTAGATTTTTTTTTTATTGCCAGCAAATTAAAATCAGTGGGGTCATGAAGGGACCAGAAAAAGTTGCTCTGGAGACTACATCAATCCCTCAAACTGGGAGTGAGGTACATCTGTAGTTGATCTTGTTAACTCAAATGTTAGTTCATAAATGCACGACAGAGTAAATAATGACTATAGAATTTGAGCTTAAGAAAATCAACTCCAAAAAGTACTTAATATAGCCATCCAGGCCCTTCATGCATGAAAAGAATTCAAGATGTTCAGTACTCACCGCACCACTCAGTTAATGAAGGGAGAAGGGGTGAGGGTGAGAGAGAAGAGGTTTCTGGATCAATTGCCCTTAAACAGGTGAGCTTCAGTGCTGAAGCTGTCAGTGCCTACTGTCTGTTCAGCATAAACATACACAGTCCCATTTCAGCAAAGCTTCCTCTCAGGGTACTCTCCAACTACAGTGGTACCTCAGGTTACATACGCTACAGGTTACACACTCCGCTAACTCAGAAATAGTGCTTCAGATTAAGAACTTTGCTTCAGGATAAGAACAGAAATCGGGCTCCGGCAGCGCGGCGGCAGCAGGAGGCCCCATTAGCTAAAGTGATGCTTCAGGTTAAGAACAGTTTCAGGTTATGAACGGACCTCCAGAACGAATTAAGTACCACTGTACGTTCTATGCAGAGTAAACCCAATGAAATTAATATTTACATGATTTATTTCATTGAGTCTACATTACAGTGGTACCTCAGGGTAAGTACTTAATTCGTTCTGGAGGTCCGTTCTTAACCTGAGACTGTTCTTAACCTGAAGCACCACTTTAGCTAATGGGGCCTCCCGCTGCCGCCGTAGCACGATTTCTGTTCTCATCCTGAAGCAAAGTTCTTAACCCGAGGTAATATTTCTGGGTTAGCGGAGTCTGTAACCTGAAGCGTATGTAACCTGAAGCGTATGTAACCTGAGGTACCACTGTATTAATTTACATGCCTATTAATGTCAATGGATCTACTCTGAGTAGAACTAAATTGGGCAATCTTCATTATTCCATTAAAAAAAATATTTTAACATGCTCTGGGCACTTTTCATCTGAGTAGATCAGAGCTTTGCAAAGTTTGCAAGAATTATTATAGACTACCCAGAATGGTACAGGGCAGTACTATATTCTTGTCAGGCTTATGTAAAAGAATTAGCAAACAAACATGAATGTGCCTAGATAAGCAATTCCAAGTCCACCCACCTTTTCCTTAGAAAAGCCACCATTACCACTGATGGGTTTGCCCACAATATTCAACTATCCCTGCAAAATGTTCTCTTAATGTTTACAATATTGGTTTAAGATGCAGGAAATGGAAATACTAAATGTTGTAATACATTTCAAACAATGAACTGCAGGCTTTCACAAGTCACTTAGGCTTGATTAATATTAGGAAGAAAAAAAAATTATATTAAATATGAGGCTTCTCTACGCCAGACATCGTAACAAACAAAAACACTGCTACGACAATTAAACACAAATATGTAGTGCTCCAAGCTGCAGCAAGCAGTGTAGTAGTGCAAACTGTAAAATCCCAGCTGGCACTGTCAACTGATTGGGGAGTTGAGAGGGGATGTGCGAAAATTCACACTGAGTTTTTATGGAAGCCTATGGGAACCTGAACCAATAGCACTGCCCTCCTGTGCACACTGCTATAGGTATCCACACAAGAGCAGCATTAGCCTACCTGCAGTGTGCAACACAGGGGTATCCCAGTCACCCCCAGGAGCCCAGCAGTGATAAGCAACTGGCAAGCGCAGTTTATGTCAAAAACACACTGCTGCTGGCTCCGAATAAACATTAACACTACTACAGCACAGCTTATCCCACCTGATGATCTGTTATTCATTGTGCAATTTTCCTTCCTAAAACAACGAAGTGTATTAACGTGAAAGTATCAAAGTGTTTTGTCTGGCATTAATCATTCAGAAAGAGTAATGCTCCTAAGTGGCATGATTTAAATACACCTCCTCCATTCCAGCTACATACCATGGACCGTAAAGTGCATGTCTTTACATGCAGCTGGTTGTTGAAATGACTCTCCTTTAAAGAGCAACACCCCAGCTCACAGCCACAATAAAATGCAAATTATGCACTGTGTAATTCAGTAAGACATTCTGCATATTTTAAAAAGCTCTTCCAATGATAGCTTTATCAGATTTTCACAAGAAGACTACTATAGTCATGGGTTTATACAAGTTCTTCACACTTCACCACTTTGAATTTTGCTTATGTTAGTTAAACCATATTAAAACAGTAATGGCTGTAGAAGGGAGGTACTTCAGTCAACAGTAACTGATATTGTGATATTATAAACCAAAAACATAACATTTTAAAGCAAAGTCATTAGAAGACAAAAATAGGAAGCTGGAATCATTCTGAGGGTGTGATATTCACACAACTTAAAAGCCAGTAAAATGCAAACAAGAGTTCTGTTATTTATGCTTCACCTGATACAGGTCAAAATGCTGCTATTTTTTCATTCATATTCAGTATTTGTGGTTGATCAGGTTTCTAGTCTAATTTTAAGGTCACCGCTAGTACAGAGGGTGATTTTAAACTCAACCTCCAGGAGATGAACTAACAAGCAATTTAAAACATGAAATTAAACCTTTAAGTTTATACATTTTAAAAGAAATTTCCTCCCCCCCCCCATCAGAACAAATGACACTACCACTTATAGCAGAAATCAATGGCAACAACAAAATCATAAAGGGTGGATTTTGCTTGGAAGAATCAGAAAGTGGGAGGAAATATTAAAGATTTCAGATGCTACAGTTTGTGTGCAACTCCCAGGACTGAGTAGTAAAAAATATTTTATATACAAAAATCAAATGAATAGGAGGTATATAAAAAGTTAACTATGTCCACCTCAGTATAAGGTTATCTATAAGATATGTGTGGCACATTAACATAAGATATTTAAGATTTTTAATTCTCACCTTATTTACATAGCACCTTTCAAAGTTGAAGATATATACTGTGGTGTTGGATCTCTTATCAAGGAGGCCGAAGAAACTCAGAGCTTAGATTGTTGTTGTGGCTGTTGATCCAAAAACTGAAGAGAAGGGAGGAAAAAAACAACCGTTAATTCACCCACTCATGAATAAAGTGCAAGGACACTTCTAGCAAAAATCTGAGGCCTGTTTTTGACTGTGCAGAATAACTTTTACCTGTTGAAATGTGCTGCAGAAAATGTATGCCACTGTAAATATAACAGTTTTAAAGTGCCACAAGATTCTGCTATATTTGCTGCAAGAGGCTAATACTGTAACTTGCCCTCTGGAAATTGAACTGACAGGGTTTTTTGCTGCTTAAAAATGGGGCCTAGACATTTGTTCAAAAAGGAATCCGAACGTATTTTTGGAAAACAGCTTTCTGTCTCTTGGAAAGGATACTGGATTCAGTAAAACTTTTCAGACACCAACCTTAGAGAGCAAATACCTAAGTTTTCTAACAAAGAGTTGCAGAAATTTGCTTGAAAGCCAGATTCCACAAAACCTTACGATTTAAGACTCCTAAAGCCAAATGAAAATAAAAATGAATCATACGCAGAACTCTAGATTCATTTTTCATTTCCTAACTTTTACATCACTCCTGTTTTTAGAAGCATGACAGGCTCTCTTTTTTGCACATTTTATTTTATTTAGCCTGATTTTAATTACATTTTAACACAGTTCTCTCTTTCTAGCTATAAAGCCTTGATGATAGGGTGCAGCACAAAACAATGAATGTCCTGCAAGTCAGAATATAACCCAGTGGGAGAGCAGACGACAGTCAGCTGCACTTCGACTAAAAGAATGCAGTAAAGTACCACAGAAGCTATACACGAGCATTCACAAAGTTTTCGCAATGTTTCACATGTAGCACTGGTTATCTACTTTGGAGCAGGCTGACCTGTGGCATGTGAAAGCCCCTGTCCAATGAACTATTACCAAAAAATAAGCATTTTGGATATACAAAACGCTCAGATATGTCAACACATGGTGATGAATTGTATTGGGATGGCATAAGAACAGCCTATATTGTCAGATGCCACACAGCAATGGCATTCAACCCTGTGGAGAGTGCAGCATTAGGCAGAGAGGGCACAGCAGATACAAATGCAGGGACAATTCACCTACACATTCTCTTTAAGGCATTTTGGCCATCACAGAGTCAGCTGCATTGACCTATTTCTACCTGACTAGTATCTGTTAGCATCCAGTCACGGATCAAAAATGACAAGCGGCCTAAGAGGACTTGTACCAGCTGCATGATGCTACTGGAGTTACAGCACAATACCAGCTAAAGGACTAGGATGGGGCAGTGTCTCATCTTACAGAACAAGGAATGTAGGAGCCACCCCTTTAAAACAAAGAAAGTGTCAGAAAACAAGTCACAAACAAGTGGATTTGTACTGTATACCATATATATTTTTAAGTTCTCTATACATATTAATATTATTTTTAAAATAAACCATACACCACCTTATCTCAAAATATAATTAACACACCCAACGGGAGAGCAATTTTTAAGTAATAAAATGTCATTATACATTAAAAGGTTTACTTCTCTGTTGGGATGCACAAGCTTTCGGATGAAACCCCCTTAGGGAGGGTGACAAGGGATCAAATCATGCAAAACAATCCAACAACATTTTCACAACTGTACAACCCCTTATTTAGAATTAAGTATACAAGTCGTTTTGTCCATCTACATTCTAAAATATAGACCACTGCTGTTCATCAGAGGTCTGACAAAGGAGAAAAACCCATCAGATGGCTGGGACGCCACCACTAAGAATTCCCTGGCCTACACCAAGTTCTGGACAAGTGGATTTTTATTGGTGATGGCAGATCTCAACTCACAGGCAGGAGAGTGTATGGCAAGGTCCTCTTTCATGCAATTATCAGAAAACTGCATGAAATAAATTATATTTCAGAAAATTATATGAAATAAATTGCATTAATTATCAGAACAGGAAGCAGGTATGTTCCTTTTTCTACCACACTATTTTGCAAGACACACACCACTCATGTTTCCCTGGACAGCAAAAGGAAGAGCTAAACTTTTTCTTATAGAAATTGTGGGTCTATCAACCCGTACACACCTCCATATCTTACACACAAGATGGGAAGACTGTGGCCTTTCGATTTCCATTAGCCGAAGCCAGCATGGCCAGTAGTCGGGAATGATTGGATTTATGTTCAGTAAGTTCTGGAAAGCCACAGGTTCCTCACCTCTGCCTTACACCCCTCATTTCTCTGCTTAATTTGGATGAATTTCATATGTTTCTTGGTGGAATTACATTGGAAAAGATCCAATGGATCATTAAATCACTATGACCGTTTTCTTTGTAAAAAAAAAAAAAGTGGAATTAATGCCACCAATGTCAATTTTAAAAGATACTCACATTAGATAGTATCTAAATTGATACTGGGGAGCATGAGTAAAAAAATTTGAGTTTTACAAACTCCCATGAAAAAGTCTGCATGTGTTAAAAATGTTTTAAACACTTGCTTTTAAACCGTTTTTTATAATTTTAATATTTCTTGCAACCTGCTCAGAGGTTTTATTACAATCAATCAGTAAAGTATACACATTTTGTTATTTAATGAAATAACATTGTGGTTTCATATGTAAAAGTTTATTATCTTAAACAAAACAAAATATGAATTTAGAATGGCATTTTTCCATGTCATATTCCAGACATATCAACGTAATGTTGATACTGTGTATTTTGACACATAGATAAAAGCAGCCCAAAAGCTGTAACTGGAAAGGGTTTGGCGTTGTTGTTGCTTACAATTTAAATATCACAGTAAATCTCCCTTTGGGGATAATAAAGTATTCCCAGCTTATCTCTGTCACAGTATGGTGGTGGAGTTTCTATACAATTCACATTTGTCCCCAATAAAAGGCCCAGCCTACAGCAAAATCCTATACTGATCTACTTAGAAGACGGCCCTAGTCATTGATGATTGCTCCCAGGTAAGTGGGAACAGTATAGTAGTCTCCCTGTTATTTGAACTAAATGCACAAATTGCATTTAAACACTTAATCACTCAACAGCTCGTAAGTCCAGTGAAGAACTCAAGAAAATGCTCAACATGTCCCACAGGCAGAGCCTCTTACCGAATTATGCTTCGAAGCTAGCAAATATTTCAGACAACATTCACTATTATGGCAGCAAAGGAAAGGAAAAGTGAGGTCTGCTCTTGCTCCCACCGACACCAAAGTAAGTATTGCCTCTGGCTGTCAGCAAGCAAAGAACCAGATCATGTGTCGCATTTCACAAGATAGCTTGTTCTACTGTAAAATACATTTGATGTGATTTAAAAAATAAGTTGGGGAGCGGTTTTACATAATATCCTTTAAAATAAAAGCCCTTTTGGTTAATGTTTCCATAATGAGCTCCAGGGGGGAAACATGCAATTGGCTTTCCAGACATCTCAATCACACATCTAAAGCATTCCTGGAAGCACATAAAGCCTCGCATTATAAACAAATCAGCATACAACAAGATGTACCAATACTCCCATTATGCAATACAGAGACTCACATTCTGTGCCATTAATTCTATACGGCTGTTTCACTTTCCATACTACATTCTTGTCCGCCTTCTGTTTTCGGTCTAGTGGCTCGGACACACTGGCCCAAAACAAAAATTGAAGAGAAGGTGGTGCAGACTGGAAACTACATGCAGCTTTCCTTTATAGCACTGCCCAGGCTGCTGGCTGCATGAAAGATTTGGGCCTTCTCAGTGTGAGAAACTGCTCCCAAAAGCCAATCAGATGAGGCTTGGCAGACAAAGTGAAACCTGCCAGTTCAGCTGCACTCCATCAGAGACTATGAACATATTTGTAGTACATGAGCTAAAATACTGGGGGGGAAAGGTACTACATTACAAATATTTCCAATCTTAGAACTATTAATGGTTTATATTACTTTGATGTTTTGTTTTGATTTTCTTTCCATTTTATCTCTGAACAATTTGTTTGATGACACAGTAATTCAACTTTTGAGTGTGGCAAAATTTGTCTGTTAAATATATCCTGGAAATGGCAATGTGAAAATATAAACCATTTTCAATACTGAAGTATTTTTATTTTACATTTTAAATGCATTAACAGTAAAAGGCCTTTGCTGTTTCCTCCATTTAATGTTATCATTAAAAAAGTGAAACTAAATTTTAAACAAAAAACCACTGACCAATTACCTAAGCACTAACAATAAAATAATTTGGAGTTCAAGTTGGTTTTATTTTCTCTAAACTTTTTCTCGAGAGGACATTGGAAATATCCCATAACAAAATGAAGTCCCATTCGTGCCAGTGCATTTAGCACTAACCTTAATTTATTAAGTTCTGTCATTCTAAGTTGCAAACTTGCAAACTAAAAAAAACCCCAGTCTCTTCAGCTTCTAAATACTTTCCAAGCTTTACATGCAACTCTTGCCTTAAAATAGTTTAACACTCAACCAAAAGCACCAGACTGCAATAGAAATGTTTCAATATAAATTCTGAAGCAGCTTTAAGAAGCACAAATATTTCCTGGCTCACTTAACACCACACACCCATGTTATCTTTATGCAAATTTCACTGTCTATCTAACCAAAATCTATTTGTGGGAAAATGAACCGACATGATTCAGGATTAACTTCCTTACGTTTTCGGGGATTAAAAACAAAGACTAGAAGCATGTTATCAAAGACAATTAATTACTTTTAAGACTATGCATTATTGTCAAACTTGGTGAAAATTTCAGAAACTGGGATGTAAAAGTCAGTCATATAACAGCATGGCCAGAAGACTCATTCCAGGAAACAGCAAGTTCATACTTCTGCACCTTTTTTTTTTAGGACTGGAACCCCTTATGATCCTGCAGTATTTGGATGCTTTGAACAGTTTATACATAGTTGTAATGCAAAGGTGCATAGCTTTTTACAAATACGCACAAGGTACAACCATTCATACTATAAACATATGATCAACATATGTCTCAAAAGCATGTAGGAAATCAATTTCAGTGTGAGGGCCAGATTCCTTTAGTCCCTAAAGGATCTAGTTTAAATCCTAAAAAAAGAGGGTTTTATGGGCAGGAGGGAAGAGTTCATGATAGAGAAGACAAAAAATTGAAAACACTATTAGCAATTGAATCTCACATTTTAAAGAAAATCCTGTTCTTGCTGTTTTCAAATAAACAACTGTCACATTTTTAGTCGTCATTCCAAGCACTCTTGGGTGGCCCACTAAACAGAAGATGTCACAGAGGGTTTCTTACTTTGAAAATACCAAACTTCACACACAGACAGCAACTGTGGTTGGAGAGATAAAGAAGCTTCTCCACGTTTTTAAAAGGTAATAGGGCATGCTATCTATCATAAACAGGCCCTTTAGCTAACCTATTACAGCTGCAAAGGGAACTAGCTGCCCCATACATGTCCCAAAGTTGATAGAGGAAAAAGCCCCCACCATGCAGAATTTTACAGGGCAGGAGGTGGAGCAACAAGACCATTTCTCTCTCTGACGTTATGTTCACTACTAAAAAGTGTTAGCAAACATCTCAAATAATTACTAACCATCTACAGAAAAGCTTAAGAACTGCAACTTCTGACTCAAAGTACAAACTGCTACTGATATGACAGAAGTGCTGTTACGTGCAGCAGCAACTGACACCTTCCATTTCAAATCACATGCAAATTATGTAAATCAAATGCAAAAAAAAAAAGCTGCAGCACACAAAACACACAGCTTAACAAGTTGCTCATCCCTGCAGTAAAGGCACCATTTGAGGTATCCCAGTCACTAGAAAAAAAACGCACCTGAATGGACGATGAATACTGTCTGTTACCATGGCAGCCCGATCTAATTACATGACTGATCAGGGCTAGTGAGTGCACTGAAAACCTACACCATTGACATGTCTCTACATGATCACTCGCGTGTGCGCGCACACACACACACACACACACACAGAGCAAGCTGTAGAAAATCTATCAGTTTTTTGTCCTGCATTACACAAGTGATGAGAGTAAAGCCATCTATTTAACAAAACTGACCTGCAATTTTTTTTAAGGAAAGATAAAAATGACAGCCTCGTATGAAAATGTATGCTTCTTAGTTGCTCAAAATAACTCTAGCAATACAGCCTCTCTCTCTCTTTCAATTATCTCTTCCTCATTCATAACCCCTGTTCCTGAGAGCAATAAAACTAGGCTGTCCTCACCAGCCAGACAAACAAATCCAGTCACAGAGGAAATCTGAATTTGCTGTTAAGTGTTTCATCAGAAACTGAAACAGGACTGCCTAAAATGTCAGCAAAGTAACTGTCTATATTCAAACATATGTAACTAACTCTTAGCTGCATAAAATATATAAGAGGAACCACTAAATATTTAATTACCTGTATTGTGAAATATTTTCTATCCATATTGAAAGATAAGAGGATCCACAAACTCAAGGGATGCATCTGCACAATTGCATGTGTAAGCGAGTGCATAAACAGATAATTGTGCAAAGCAGTATTTTGCATAACATGTCAAGTTGTGGGCTTCTGCTCCCCTCCAATTGTACCATGGATTCAGAATCACAGGGGAGAAATATTATTTTGGAAGAGTCCCTATTGCATACCATACGGTAAACAAAATAAAAATAGCTTGTTCTTGTTGTCCACATAGTGTGGCATTATATAACAAGCTTTGAATTTGCTCTTTTCTATCATTGCTCTCTCATAATTTTACCTGCTTTTTTAAAAAAAACAAAACCCCCAAACATATTCAATACTGCCTTTTTAATGTTATGTTATTTTCCTTGCTCGTATTCCAGTAGCTGCCAACGTATCTAGAAAAAAACTCAACCGCTTCTTTAGAGAAATACAATTATGCAGGCAGATTATTCATGCTTTGAAAAAATTAAAGCGAGCTTAACTTTTTAAAAAATACATATTTTTGAACGAGACGGAGAGGGCAGCAGGGCACTGGAGGCATGTAACAAATTGCAAACAGTGTCAGGCTCAGAAATCTATCTCCCCCCCTCCCTCCCCCGATTTAAAAAGGGGAATCTTGCCATGTCCAGAGATGAACCCATCCGTTCCTGGAAACCAGAAAGAATCTCGAGAGAAATCTCTTGGAGAAACTGGACTGTGCGTATTTTCTTTGCCGGGAAAGCCTGGAGGAAGGCGAGAGGAAAACAGCAGGAGCTGCCTTTTGGAGGATGGTGTCAAGGTGAAGAGAAGGGGGAGCGCAGGCCTCCCCGTCCAAAGGACCCCCTACCTCCTCTCCGGGTGCCCGGCAGTGGCCTTCACTCACTCAGCGACCCCTGCCTGAAGTGCCCGGAGGAGTCTGCAGCCGACCTGGGCCCTGAATGTAGGAGCATAGTGGAAGAGGAGCTGCTGCTGCTGCTTGCTGCTGCCGCTGCCGGGCACATCCCAGTCCCAGCGCCGCCGCCGCCGCCGCCGCCTCCTCCGCCTCCGCCTCCTCGCTTCATTCACCCCTCCGGCAACCACCCAGCCCCGTACTACACAGTGCAACGAGGACCGGCCCTCCCTACTATGAAGCCAGGCGGCGGTGGCGGGGGGAGAGGAGAGGAGAGGGAGGGCGCGCAATGCTCCGCTGGCCCACAGCAGCTGAGCCGGCCTTCAGGAGCGGCGGCGGCGGCGGCGGCGGCAGCAAGAGGGGACGCAGCTCCAGCCAGACAGCGGCGGCGGCGGAGGAGGGCGTTGCTTCGGGACACACAAAACCCAGGCCCTGTGTGAACTCGGCGCACTCGCCCTCGGCCGGGCTCCCTCGCCAGCGCCTCTCAGGGCGCAGCAAACGCACAGCTGACACCAGTGCACACGCAGGCAAATACACTCGAAGGGAGCGAGGAAAGCAAGCCGAATACCGGCGAGGAGAGGGGGAAGGGAAGGGAAGAACACTTCTTTCGGTTTCTTTGCTTGCATAAGCGGGGGTGGGGGGGGCATTTCTCGCATATACACCGACTCCAGCCAGCGGTACCATACCCTCCTCCTCCTCCCCACACCGGCCCGCCTCTCGCTTGCACACACAGCACGCCGATCGCTTCCTGGCCTGGCTTCCCCTTCCTCCTACACCTCCAGCCTCCTCAGCACGGGATGGGGGGGAAGATGCGGGGACGGGGCTCGAGCAAAGGGAGATACTTTCAGGGTGACAGCGCATCGCAGTCCCTCCTGTCCCCCTCTTCCAACAGCGTATCACTTGTGTCGGTGTGTTTTTCCTCGCCGCCGCCGCCGCCTCCAAGCTGGAAATCTCTGGAGGTTTGCAATCGAGGAGGGGTCAGGGGAGTGGAGAAAGAGAAGCGAAAGCAGAGGATGGTCTTTTTTCCTTTAAAAAGCCACTTACTGTAAAGTGTCAGTGGGGTTGGAGAACGGGACGGACCAAAAAAAAAAAGGACTCACAATATCTTGCCAGCTGATCGCAAGGGCTTGGGGGTTTTGTAATATTTAAAAAGGAGGAAAAAACACAACAACAACACTGTGCTATTTCTCTCCTCCCGCGCTGTGACACAGATGTCTCCTCACCAACTGTAGTAGAAATGATGTCTGCGGTATAGAAGCTCGCTCCTCTCTTCTCCAGTATGTAAATGTGTAATAGAAGCCAAATATGGAGCAGTTGGCTGCCTCTGCATCAGCTCAAGGATCCTACTTCATGCAAAGGGGAGGAGGAGGAGGAGGAGAAGCGAGGGGGGGGGAGGAGAAGGAGGCAACACTTTGTCAGGCGGCCAAGAGAGCCACACAGATTATTGCATACGCACAACAGAGCCCGGCCAAACCAGCCTTAACCCTTTCCAGGGTTTCGTCTCAGCTTCCAGGAAGGGATTTGGATTTTTGTTTTCACTACAATGTACCTTGGAGGTTATCTCCTCTCTTCACCACACCACTCCACACACATGCCAAATTATGTGCACAAAAAAATCTTGTGCCAGTCTACATTTTTTCAGTTCTGGAATCTCAAAGCTCTTTGGTTCCACTAACAGATGCGAGGAAACGATTGAAGTCCTTTCCAGACATTTCAAAAGAAACTGGACTTTAAAAAAATTAGTCTTACAGCCTGATCCTATGCATATTTACTCAGAAATCTCATTGAGTTCAGCAGGCCTTGCTTCTAACTAAGTTGTCTATACTCAAGCTAGGTCTGAAGGAGAGCTCACTCTCTAATCAAGTTTTAGAAAGAGGAGCAGAACACATTTTAAGTGTTTACAAACCAGCACAAGCATGAAGGGAGAGATTTAGTCACATGCCATTAGTGATATCAGAGGCACACAATAGGTGCCCACACCACATACACACAAGAAAACAACAGCACTACACTTCATTGCTGTGATTGACATGCTTTGTAGGGGAAGAATAAAAATTTCCCAGCAAAATGTTTATGTTTGACCTATGGGGAAATGTGGTATTTGTTCCCATAATAGAGAGCTTCCTTGAGGAAAGACAACAAATGAGAAACAACTGCACATCTATTGATGCATAAGGTGATTTTTTCCTCCAAATAAAAAAAAGGTATAGAGGTGAAATTATTATTATTATTATTATTATTATTATTATTATTATTATTATTAAATTGGAGAAGGCCCTAATGATAAAGGGGGGGGGAGTTGAAGCCTATTGCCCCTTCTAAATTACAATGTAATTGGGAGGCAGTTGCCCCTCAAGTTTCTTCTGTTACCGAAAGAGGCGGGGGGATACCACCTTGGCAGCTAACGATAGCAACACTTTAGGGCTACAAAGCTATTTTAAAGTTACTTATTCTATTGCACTGCCATCATTTAAAATTAAGCCTTAACCAAGAGCCAGAGATGAGAACCAACTCCCTGTGGTGAACTAAGGGAATGACTGTCAATTAGCATTTTTCTGTTACAAACCTGAGGCACTCTATTCAAGCCCACTGACAAAATGCTTTTTAAAAAAAGATATCGGAGCCTTGTAGTCATTACAAAAGGATGGGCAGCTTGATGTACAGCCTTATGCAATAACTGTCAGGGAGGAAATGTATGGTGCTGACCACCAAAGTTGTATAACATAGCAAAATTTGCTTGTAATCCTGTTTTTGACATTTTTCCCATTCCCCTGGGCAGCCAGTTAAATGGCTGTAAGCTTATAAGCTCTTCGGTTCTGTCAGTGCTGCTGAACCCATAGTGTCTCTGTGATACCTCAAGACCTTGCATACAGGGTGCTTCCATATCAGAGCTTGTCCTGGAATCGGTGTTACTCATGCATGCAAGTTTTTCATCGCATCTACACAATACTGCCAGGATCAAAATGCCACAAAGTATTTTTAACTCCTACTTAATCCAGATTTCTCACTACCGCAAAAAAAGAAGTAAAAATAACCCATTATACACACATCCACAGTCACCACTGGTATAGAAACCTAGCAAAGTTTTTGTGTGACTGGTTTTGTCACATGTATGCTCACTGTCACCACACCCCTACTTCTGTTTGCTCATTACCTAAGCGCAATCTACCCATTTTTTTTCTGACAAACCTAATGATGCAAGTAGGTGTAGTTCTACCAACTGCTGCATGCTAGAAGCACATTCAGATTGCAGCACATATATCAGTATGTTGTTTTTACTTTTAATAGCGGGTGGCGCTGTGGGTTAAACCACAGAGCCTTGGGCTTGCCGATCAGAAGGTCAGCGGTTCGAATCCCCGCAACGGGGTGAGCTCCCGTTGCTTGGTCCCAGCTCCTGCCAACCTAGCAGTTCAAACGCACGTCAAAGTGCAAGTAGATAAATAGGTACCGCTCCAGCGGGAAGGTAAACGGCATTTCCATGCACTGCTCTGGTTTGCCAGAAGCGGCTTAGTCATGCTGGCCACATGACCTGGAAGCTGTACACTGGCTCCCTCGGCCAATAAAGCGAGAAGAGCGCCACAACCACGACTGGACCTAATGGTCAGGGGTCCCTTTACCTTTATTGTACTAGACTGCTTTTGAGCAGGCCCTTTTGAGCAGGCCCACATATTTATTTTGCCACATGAAGGAGGAGGTACCATTTAAAGCAATTCAAACTTGCATCACCAGTGGCTTGTATCCTAAGTTAACTTAAGGAAGTCCAGGGTGGGGGAATTGTGCCCTTTGGTCCCCCTTCAGCCATCTAAGCCCCCCCCCCAGTCTCTCTCAAGTGTCAGGGGGCCCATCTAAAATGTTGACAGCAGCAGCAAATTGGACAAAGCAGGAGGCAGTAGAGACATCATTTTGACTGTCAATACTGCAGTGAGGCAGGAACTGCAGAGCAGGTGAAAAAATCAGTAGAGACGGCAGTACCACCACCACAAGCATGGTAAGCTATTAGGCACTGGCAAGAGGAACTGCTGCTACTGCAGCAGATGATTAAGCCAAAACACATCCTGCTCCGAGATTCTGGAGAAGTATGAACCACAAGGCCAAAGTTCATCATGCGGCGTATAATATTGTTATCTGTCCTAGTAGCCTAGTGTGAGGCTAGAATATCAGTAACAAGGCAGCACCTTGCCAACTTGATTCCAAAGAGTGGGCTGAAGACCTGGAATTGGGGAAGACCTTCAGAGGAACACAGAAATCTGCCTTATCCAAAGTCAGACCCTGGTTCATCTAGCTTAACACTGACAAGCAGCAGCAGTCCAGGGTTTCAGATGCAAGTTTCCCCCGGTCCTACCCAGAGATGCTAGGAATTGAACATGGAACCTTCTGCATGCAAAACCGATACAGTACTTTACCACTGAGGAGCAACTATGCTTAAAGGCTGCACCTCTTGGAACAATAGTCCCCACCACTGAGGTGAGGGATACCCTGTTTGGGAGGGGCCTGATCGATAGGACCCTCAGATATGGATCCAGCGATCTGGATTTCTCTGGACTCCATCACAGAAACCTGTTACAGTTTCTCCAAGGTGATTGCAAGTAGACTGTTGCCTGATCAACAGCAGGAAACTGGGTGGAAGCACCCGCTGCACTGTAGGTGCACTGCTGACACTGAAAAAAATACCAGTCAACAAAGAAAATCACACATACAAAGTAGGAGAAGACTGATGAGAGGAAGAGAAAGGAATAAAAGTATAACTTTTCACCTTCCTCTAAAAGAGAACACAACCGATGGGGGACTAAAAGAATAATATTCTGTTTATGAATTTCCTTAAGTTCCATTGAAGTTAATAGGATTTCCTTTATATGCAGACATGTATACAATTGCAGTCTTAGGGTCCAAGTCAAAATGTTTTCTTTATGGTCCAGAATAATTCAGTTAGTTCTCTTGCATATTTCAGAAGTCATTCATCATTTAACTGCCCTATTTATAGAGCTCAGAGTGGGCAATGTGTTTATTACCAGACATTCACTTAAATATGCAATAAAAACAGAGTTTTAAAACACTCAAAACTACAAAGAGATTCCACTGTGTCCCTTAGATGTGTGTTGTATATTCTGGCCACTACTACTAAATAGTAACTGGGAAGAGCAAGAGCACAGCTGAGGAAGTACAAAGTAATTTTCACAGCGGCCAAAGCAAACTGTTAAATCTCACAAATGCAATTCTGCATAGTGCTGTGCTACAGGCCTCCTTGACAATGCAAATTAAGGCCTCCCTTCTTCAGTCTTGACTTGACTTAATGATTGTAACTGGAAAGCGTACAGCCTTTCTGTCCCCTTGTTTGCTGCTTAGTGGTGGTGGTGCTGCCTATGATAAAGAGTTTGTAGCCTTTACAGATCACAGCTGATAAGTTGTACCTGTCCTTGGGGATTCTAGCAGGATTGAAAAATGGGCTGAAAATTAACTGAAATATAAAGGTCAGTCTACCATGAAAATTTTCCAAATAACGTACTAATGGCTGGCCATCAAAAAGCTAACCAAATAAATTCTGGCATGCTCATAGTTAGAAAATGGCAAAATTTCAAAGGAAAGAAATTCAATAATTATTGAAAGCTGCTGAGATATTTTACTACACAAAGCTGGTGCCTTCCAGATGTTTTGGACTACAACTATCAGCCCCAGCCATCCTGGCCATGGATTTTGTAGGGTTGATGAGAGTAGGGTTGTTCAAAACATCTGGAGGACTCCAAGTTAGGGAAGGCTAACCTGGAATATTCAAGTAGAAAAAATGCTGCATGCCATCACTTATGATGTTGGGCATTTTGTCATGATATGGGTAATGTTTATTGCTATTACAAACTTGAGATGCACATCCTTAGAATTCTTAAATTATCACCTTGAGCAATTTGGAGCTTTCTGTGGAGCTGCTTCTGTGCATTAGTGCTAAACTGAAGATGCAGAAAGCAGTATCTTCCAGCAAAGAGTTGCAAAGTTGCAGCTATTTCTGTGCAACATTCCCATGTTGCGGTTCTATTTGTGCTACCACCACCATTCTCCTGTATGGATCATTAAAATTCCTTTATGGTTATGCCTGGAGTATATAGATACCAAGTGGTGGGAAACTTTAAAAACCTGAAACTTGGCAGGAGCAGAATGGCTCCAACACCACCCAAAACTCAAGTGTGACGTGTAAACTTGATCTGTAGCAGCATGTTTTGGTGAGAGTACTGGCAAAGGTAAACATACACCTTATGGGTCTGAGGCTCAACACAGGCACCACAGCCTTTATTCCAGCAGTTACTTGTGCATGACGATGACAAAAGCACAAAATTTAGGTGC